CATGTGCTCATGTTAAAAACAGTGATGAAAATGCAGCATATGTTCAGCAACACTCCAGTCATTATCTAAATATTCTCAAATTTGAACTAGATCATTCCAAAGATGTTGGCGTTTCATATAACTTACCATTTCTAGCATTCCGACCAATTTAGTGTCGTAAACTATAGCATTTGGAGGAGTAGCCATCGGCAGCATGAAGGCGAACGAACAGGCAACGGTAACCGGCAGCGACAGGTAGAGCGGGTGAATATGGAGAGATTCGGCCTCAAGGAAAAAATTTTTTTTTGCTTCCTGTGTTTTCAGAAACTTACAATAGTTAGCACGATGGGAATAAAAACGCTTCCTGTGGACACATTGCTCGCAAACTCCGTCATGAACGTGATGGAAGAGGTTACGGCAACTGGAAAAGAAGTAATTTTTCGGAGTTCAAATAATTTCTTATTGAGATGATTTTCTTACGCAAGAGATAAACAGAATCAAGCTTGCCAAATATGTCTTTCATAAGGCATGCAATCATCGAAGAAAGTCCAGATTTCTGCAAATACAAAACAAATAATTTAGAAAAATACTCAACCAGTGAAGGATCTGGTAGATACTGAGCCATGACATACTTTACTAGCTAATAATTTCTTGTAAGTCAAATACACTTTAGTGAATCAAAGTCTAATAGTTCGACAATCTGAGTCCAACATTACGATGTTCTAAAAGTCACGCATTTTCCTTGATTCCCAGGAATCCTTTCCTTATTAACAAAATCCCAAATACCCGAATATTTTGAACTGCGTTAAAGTCATCGTTTCCTCCACTAACCACTTTATTCCAGATATCGAGAGAATAAGTTAGAGCGAAAATATTACTTTAAGAAAGTCATTATTTTGCAATTGAACTGCGTCATTTTGTCCTGGAAATGCAATATTCTGACAACTCTTCGTGGATTTTTATGTTGCTTTTTTATCGTATTGGACATAGTCAGATCTCGGCGGCAGGTCTCCGGAAGGCAAGCTGGAAT